GAAAGAGACTTTGGACTGTGCAGTTCTCTACCAAGGAATAATTCCTTACTTGATTTAATTTAATTTCATTTTATGGGTAGCAAAGTTTTAAAAGCTTCATCTGGGAGTTCACATGAGCCAACCTTGCAGGTTGGAAACCTTTGTTACAGTTTGTATTTAATTATCAATGGAGCACCAGCTGCTTTTGCAGCACTTCTGCCCCTGGTTTGTTTGTTTTGCACCCCAGTAACTGCCCACTGCCACGTTCTGTTTTCCAGGTTACATTTATGTTGCTGGACCAAAACAACAGGGAGCACATCATCGATGCCTTTCGCCCAGACCTGACTTCTGCCTCCTTCCAGAGGCCCGTGAATGAGATGAACGTGGCCAGTGGCTGCCCCCTGTTCCTGCCCCTGGCCAAGCTGCAGTCCCCCAAACACGCCTACGTCAGGGAGGACACGCTTTTCCTCAAGTGCATCATAGAGACAAATTAGCAGCTCCTCAAGTGTGGCTGGCCTGTAAAATAATCAGTTGTGATAAAACATCGCATTTCAAAAACACCCACCCCGTAAACAAATATTTATCAAAGTTTGTTTGGGAAGGAACTGGATATTCTGTGTGTCTTCTCCTCTATTCCACCTTTCAAATGTTCTTTCAGGGACAGAGTACTGGAGTAATTTACCTAATCAGATTATGCTTCTTCTCTCTGTATCACTTTGACAAGTGCTGTATTTATTACAATCATTCATATTTTCTTATGATTTTATTTATTTACTAAATAAAACTCACTAACTTAAGAAAGGCTTGGTGATTTTTTTCACTGTCAGATAGGGAATTGAGCAGCTTGGAGAGGTTACAGAAACAGCTGAGCTGTGCTGCACTTTCCTTCCTTGCTGTTTCCTTTCCTTCTTTCTGGGGAAAGGAAGATCCTGTTGGAAATGCCCAGAACATCTCTGTGTATTGTGTATTTCCCTCAGACCTGCCTGGCTGGGAGAGCCCTTCCAGGCTCTTCAACAGAGCCCACAGGGAGAGCTCAGTTAGAAAAAGGGTGGATATGGATCAAATCCACGCTAAATAAATAAACAGACACGAAACCCCATGCCCAGGGCTCCTCCTTTCAAAGGCAGAGCTGGCAAAGAGCAGCCAGACCTCAGCCAGATCCCAGCCAGATCCCAGCCAGATCCCAGCCAGATCTCAGCCAGATCTCAGCCAAATGTCAGCCAGATCCCAGCCAGATCTCAGCCAGATCTCAGCCAGACCCCAGCCTGATCTCAGCCAGATCTCAGCCAGATCTCAGCCTGATCTCAGATCTCAGCCTGATCTGCTCTGACTGAGGGTGCAGGCACCCGTCGGACCCCAGCCCCTCTCCCGAGGGCATTTCCATCCCTGGAGGGGCTCCAGGAGCCCTGCGAGGCTCGTTCGGAGCCGGAGCAATCCCCGGATCCCCTTTCCAGCCTCGGGGCTCCGCTCCCAGCCCGGTCCTTCCCCATTTTCCTCTCCCACCCTCAGCACCAAAGCGCCTCGCTGAGGAAGTGGCCGGCACTGAGAGGAGCTGGAATCGGGGAATTATCAAGAGTTTTCTGATCCAGCAAATCATTCCTGTGTGATTGTGTCTGGATCAAACCAAACGAGGCAGAAAAATCACGGAGACTTTGAGGGAGTCAAATCAGCAGCGTTTGCTCCGTGTTTAATGGCCAGGTTGGCAAAGAGTCAAAATGCTCCTGCAGCTAAGACGGTCTGAAATGGTCAAGGACAAGGTTTGGAGGGAACTTTTTTTTTTTTTAATGGACTAATAAAGATGAAAAAAAATTAAAAAAAAAAAAGCCAGGCAAATTTTTGGCTTATAAGCCCTTGTTCAGGATAGGTAAAGGACTTTAACTTTGCACGTGATGCCTTGAACTGGTTGTGTTGGTCACTCAGGTGGCTCCAGTGGGGTTGAGACCCTGGGAGCAGAGGGAAGAGGGGGAATGACCAACCTGTGGGAGCCACTGCTACTCTCAGGGATGTGTCCATGGAACGGGCTGTTCCTCCAGCTGGAATGGCCCCTGGGAGCCGCTCTGGGCCGCCCATCCACGGCAGCCCCCGGGGCCAGCGAGAGCCGCAGCAGCTCCGATCCCCGCGCCAGGCCTGCAGCTCCGTGTTTGGGTTTCCATTCAATATTCCTCGGCTTCGGTCTCCAAGGCTACACGCCAACATCCAACCCCTCCTCCCACTGCTGTTTTCAAAGAAAGAAAAACACTGTGAAAAGAGGCTGCAGCGATTTCTGGGCAGTTTTCAAAGCAGAGGCAGCGCTGGGAGCTGCTCTGCCCGCGGGCTCTGCTCCGACATCCCCGGGTGCTCCATCCCCGTGCAAGGGGGAAAACAGCTCCCCTTGGCAAGCGAGGGGTGTAGGGGAGCAGTTTAAAGGTTTTAAGGAAAAAATGGGAGTTTGGAGTAGTTATCTACACAGGGCTTCGTTCAAATCCTTCTGCAAAAGCTGAGTTTTTTGGGAATTCCATAGCCGGGAGCCCTGCCCTGGAGCTGTGCTGGCCCCACTCCCTGGCCGAGGAGGGTGTGGGGCTGCTGCCCTCGGCTTTGGCCGCTTTTGGGGCTCTCGTTCATTTCTATTCCCGTGCTCACAGAACAATCTGCTTTTGACAGCCGGATACCCCTGCCCTGCTCCGGCACAGACAGAGGGACAGCCTTGGCTGCTGAACCAGTGTCCAGCTGCTCCAGGTGCTGTGACAGCCCCAGAACCCGCCAGGGACCGCCATCCCACAGAAAGGGGATATCAGGGGACAGCCAGGTGGGTGTGCAGAGGAGGAAGAGGAGGATGAAGAGAAGGAAAGAGAGGAGAAAGGAAGATGAGGAGGAAGAGGAGGCGAAGAGCAGCACCCAGTAGCTCACTGCAGTGCGATCTGATACCAGGCTTGCTGGGTGCTGTGACAGAAGCACCTGCAGAGAAACCAGAGTTAAATCTGCTTTATGTTGCTGTAATTATGTTACTAGAAAATACAGGACACATCTCAAATTCTGGGGTGTTTATTTTTCACTTTTGTTGGAGACTTTTGTCCCAAGGCGATGTTCCCTGTGGAACATGCTCTCTGTCCGTGTGGAAGGGTTTCAGTCAGGTTCTCCCCGCGTACACCCCCTGTGAACTCGCTCCAGCTCTGATTTCCGTGTCGCTCCATCCGCATTCCTGCGGCACCAGCGCGGGGCCGGGAGGAGGGAGCGGCTCCCGGTGCCCCCGGGACAGGCCGGGACAGGAGCGCTGTCCCGGAGCGCAGCAATCCCGGGGATTTCGGGCACAGGGAGCAGCCCCGGGGCACGGAGCGGGGCTGCTCCAGGGTTCTGGGTTATTTTAGTGCCGAGGTGACTCACGCTGATCCCGGTGTGACTCAGGGGGAGCTGCTCAGGGGCACGGCTCGGCTCGGCTCGGCTCGGCTCGGCTCGGCTCGGCACACTTGGCTCACACGGGGTTTTTCTCACGCAGCCCCGCACAGGGAGCGGCGGGGCGGCCGTGCCGGACCCGCGGCTCCGGGAATCGCCTTTCCGACCCCTCCGCAGGTGCAGCACTCTGACACCAGGGTTTTATGGGAAAATTTGATTAAACAAATGATTCCCGAGTGCCGGGTGCTGAAAGGGAGGCTCAGCCCGGGCCGTGCCGCTCTGCCCTGGCGCTGCTCGAGGTTTGTGACACGTCTGAGCCCCAGCTCCCAGGGCCGCATCCATCACGGACAGGAAAACGAACGGACTCTGCTTGGCCCAGACCCCGCGCTGGGAATCAGCTCTCCTATGGCCCGAGCAGCCTGGAAAACATTGCTTTTCCAGCACCGCTTTCCAACAAACACCGAATCCTACAGATTTCTTCTTGGCACCGACCGAAGCGTTTTTACAGCGGCTGATTTTTCTCTGTGAGATTCAGAGAAAGGCTGCAAGGCTGCTCCCGCTTCCAGGAATCGCGGCGAGCACAGGTCGTTCCCTCTCGGGGCAAGGCTGCGCAGGCACTGCCCGCATCCCACCCCCGCCCGCCCCCGCCCCGGGGCACCGGGGGAAGCTTTTCCCCGCCTCGAGGGGACAGCGGGGACGTCCCGCGTGTGGCAGAGGGTGACGGTGCCTCTCCATGGGCGGTGGGTGCGTGGCCGACCCTGGGTGCCCGTCCCGGCCCCGGGGATGCCGCCTGCGCTCTCCGGAGCACCGGGGTATGCCGAGCCGGGATGCGCCCTGCCGGTCCGGTCCGCTCGGTTCCTATCGATGCCAGTCCACGCCGATCGGTCGCTGCCGGTCCGTGTCACTCCAGTGGGTCGGTGCCAGTCCGGTCCGGTTCGGTCCGCGCCGGTCGGTGCCGCTGTGTGCCGTGCCGTTCCGTGCCGTGCCGTGCGGTGCCGGTGGGTGCCGCGGGGATGCGCTGCGCTGCGGTGGGACCGGACCCGTGGGAGGCGGCGGGGGCGGCCCCGCTAATTGCATAACCGGGACGTCAATGCCGGCGGGAGCGCGGGGGAAGCGCGGGAAGATGGCGCCCCGCGCCCGGCCCCCGCCGCGCCCCGCAGCCCCCCGGGCCCGCGCCCCGAGCGCCCGCTGAGAGCCGGGGGCTCCGCGGTAAGGGCGGCAGCGGCGCCGCCGCGGGCACCGCGCGGGACGGGCGGGACGGGCGGGACGGGCGGGCGGAGGCGCCGCGGCCGCCTTTGAATGAGCCAATGGCGGCGGGGCCGCGGCCGCCGCTCGGGGCTGCCCGCGGCCACCCCCGGCAGGTGCCACCGGGGCGCGGGGGACGCCCTCCCGCTGCTGCCCGGCCCCGAGCGGCGCGGGGCTCCCGCACGTGTCCGTGGAGCCGGGGGGAGAGCGGCGGAGCCCCGGGAGGGAGCGGCGGGGCGGAGGGAAGAGCGGGGGTCCCGGGGGCGCGGAGCGGAGCCGCCGCCGCGCTCGGACGCGCTCCCACGCGGGGACCCGGCGGTGTCGCGGCTGGGGAGCGCCGGGCTCTGCCCGGAGCGGGATCGCTCTGCCCGTCCCGGGGCTCCCGGGGAGCGGGAGAGTCCTCACTGATGGCAGGGCCGGGCAGAGCGGGCTCGTGTCGCGATCCGGACACGCGTGGTGCCGTGAGGGCACACGTGTGGCCGTGACGGGAGCCCCAAGGGGAGAAAAGTCCCTTTCGAGCCGTTTCCGTGGCGTCCTTGGGGATCGCGGCTCTGCTGTGGGTGCTTTCTCTGCCTCCTGCACCCCAAACCTCGTGGCGGTGACATTTGGCCGCCTGGCTTCGCTCGCTGTGGGTGGTGCTGGCACATCCCTGCTTCTGCAGCAGTCCCGCAAAACTGCGCGGAAATCGCGATTTTAAAATCACAGCACATTTAAAGCTTTTATTCCTTATGTGCCCCTTCCCAAAAGGGAACCACGCCGACCTGTGGCGTGTCCCGCTGCTGCGGGAGCCTCTCGGGGGTTAAATCCCTCTTGTTCGCCAGCAGCAAAGATTTTGGCTGCTCCCTGGATTTCGTGGAAAGGAACCGTCCCAGCGGCTCTGCTTTGCAGCGTGCTGAGCCCCTGCTGGTGGGGCTGAGCCGCCTCCAGCCTCGGTCCTGCCGGGCAGAGCGCTCAGGGATGCTGTGCCGTTCCGTGCCGTGCCGCGCCGTGCCGTTCCGTGCCGTGCCGTTCCGTGCCGTACCGTACCGGCGGGTGACAGCGCGTGTGTCCCCTGCAGGCGGTGCCGATGGAGGGCGCGGAGCTGAGCCCGCTGATCCGCGATGTGTACGCGGCCGCGGGCCGGGTCCCGCCGGCGGCGCGGAGGGGCAGCGGCTGCCGGGAGCTGATGGTCCGGCTGAGCGAGGGGCAGTACGTGCTGTGCCGCTGGACAGACGGGCTCTACTACCTCGGCAAGATCAAGAGGGTAACGTGGGCACCCCCGGGAGCGCGAGAAGCCGAAGTGGTGCCGGGGCCAGCGGAGCCGGTGCCGTTCCCTGGCTCAGTCCCCGGCTCAGTGTGTCCTTGGGCGTTTCGGGTTTCCATCCTGCCCCGGGGTGTCACACCCCAAACCCGAGTGCCCGCAGCCCCGAGGGACTGGATCGGGCACCAGGGAAAGCAGGGAAGCGCTGGGAATGGGAGCTGACCCACAACAGTTCTCCTGCTCTCCTGTGGCAGGTGAGCGGCTCCAAGCAGAGCTGCCTGGTCACCTTTGAGGACAACTCCAAGTACTGGGTGCTCTGGAAGGACATCCAGCATGGTGAGTGTTGCCCCATTCCCCCTTTCCCGCCGTGGGACCCCTCCCGGCAGCCCGGGGACGTGGCTGTGCCACCGCTGTCACCCTGCTCCCACAGCCGGTGTCCCCGGGGAGGAGCCCAAGTGCAGCATCTGCCTGGGGAAGAAGTCGGGCCCCAGGAACGAGATCCTCATCTGCGGCAAGTGCGGGCTGGGTGAGTTGGGTGTCCCCCCCGGGCCCTGCCGAGCCTGGCCCGGCCCCGCGGCTGATACCGAGCTCTCCGCAGGTTACCACCAGCAGTGCCACATCCCGGTGGCCGCCGGCGCCGAGGGCCCTCTGGGGACGCCGTGGTTCTGCCGCCGCTGCATTTTCGCGCTGGCCGTGCGGGTGAGTGCGGCTGCCCCGGCTCCGTGCGCTGCCCGTGGCCGGCACAGCGGGCAGGACGGGCCCGAGCGGCCCTGCTGACCCCGGCCCTGCCTCTCCCGCAGAAAGGGGGGGCCCTGAAGAAAGGAGCCATTGCCAGGACGCTGCAAGCCGTGAAGATGGTGCTGTCCTACAACCCCGAGCTGCTGGAGTGGGACTCCCCACACCGAACCAACCAGCAGCAGTGCTACTGCTACTGCGGGGGGCCCGGAGAGTAAGGGCAGCCTGAGTGTCACTGCTGGCTTTGTGGGGACAGTAAGGGCAGCCTGAGTGTCACCAATGGCTTTGTGGGGACAGTAAGGGCAGTCTGAGTGTCACCAATGGCTTTGTGGGGACAGTAAGGGCAGCCTGAGTGCCACCATTGCCTTTGTGGGGAAAGGAAGATGGGATCAGGGTGGGGATGTTTGATCCCAGGCTTGCAGGGCACTGCCCTGGGGCCAGCAGCTCTGCTGCCTTGGCCATCTGGGTCTCTGCACAGACACACGGGTTAGGGACACTCTTTCTGCCCCTGGCTGGGGTCTGTGTCTGGGAGGGGACTGGGGCACTGCTGCCACATGCTGCCCTCACTGTCACCGCTCTGTCCCTGCCCAGGTGGTACCTGAAGATGCTGCAGTGCCACCGCTGCCGGCAGTGGTTCCACGAAGCCTGCACCCAGTGCCTCAGCGACCCCATGATGTTTGGGGACAGGTATGGCCCTGCTGGGCATGGCTAGGGTGGCTCCATGGGCACACCCCAGCTCTGTGTCCCTGACCCATCTGACACCGCCATGGATCAGGTGGCCCTGTCCCACAGAGCCCCACTGCCCCTGACCTCACTGTCACCATTGTCCCTGTCCCACAGAGCCCCACTCCCCTTGGCCTCGCTGTCACCATTGTCCCTGTCCCAGCTGTCCCATCCCTGGGCCCTGCACAGCTGAGGATGTTCCTCACCCCCAGCCTGTCCCTGGTGTTTTGCAGGTTCTATGTGTTCTGCTGCTCTGTGTGCAACCAGGGACCGGAGTACATCAAGCGCCTGCCCCTGAGATGGTGAGGAACGGGCTCTGCCTCCTCTGGGATGAGCCCAGGTGGCTCTGGGACACGGGGCTGGATGATCCCTGCAAGGGCTCAGCTGCAGGCAGTGTCCGACATCCCCCCAAAGCCCAAGGGATGCTGTTCTGGCTGTGGCATCCACTGGGATTCACCTCTGGGCTGGGCTGCTTCCCCTGTGAGGTGTGGGGAGGTTCCAGAGGTAGTTTGGGAGGCTCTGGGAGCTGTAGTGGCACTGGCAGAACAGGGCATGGGGGTGGTGGCACCATCCTGCCAGGGCTGCTGACCCTGTGCCCCTCTTTGCTGCAGGGTGGACATCGTCCACCTCGCCCTCTACAACCTGGGTGTGCAGAGCAAGAAGAAATACTTTGACTTCGAGGAGATCTTGGCCTTTGTGAACCACCACTGGGACCCTCTGCAGCTGGGGAAGGTACAAACACACCTTGGGTTGGGCTGGAGAGCAGCAATGGGAGGGAGAAACGTAATCCCAGCTTGTGCAGCACCCAGCATGGCAGCTCCTGCTCCAGAGGGGTTTAATAATAAATAAGAGTTTCCCTTCCTCTGCGCTGGGATTTTCCTTGGAGTGTCAGAGCTGACGCCTTTCCCAGTGGGAGCTGGAGCTGGGGGAAGCACTCACACCATGAAACTTGTCCCGGGTCAGGACGGGCATTCCCGAGGGTGGCACTGCCAGGCCCGGGTGGCTCTGGCCGGGCCTTGGCTCCCTCCGTCCCTCCCTCCGTCCCTCCCTCGCTCCCCGGCCCCGGGCCGGAGCCGAAATGCGGAGTTCGGGTTCCCCCGTCTGTTGGGATCGGGCATAAGCAGGGCGGGCACTGAGCCCTGCGCGCCCCTTCCCGCAGCTCACGGGCACCCCGGTGTCGGAGCGCGGCCCCCACCTCCTGAACGCCCTCAACAGCTACAAGAGCCGGTGAGAGCCGGGGAATGGGCAGGGAGGATGCGGAATGGCACAGGGAGGATGCGGGATGGGTACAGGGGGGATGCGGGATGAGCGGGGAGGATGCGGGATGGCATAGGGAAGATGCGGGATGGCATAGGGAGGATGCGGGATGGCATAGGGAGGATGTGGGATGGCATAGGGAGGATGCGGGATGGCACAGGAGGATGCGGGATGGGCAGGAGGATGCGGGATGGCACAGGGGGGATGCGGGATGGCATAGGGAGGATGCGGGATGGCATAGGGAGGATGTGGGATGGCATAGGGAGGATGCGGGATGGCACAGGAGGATGTGGGATGGGCAGGAGGATGCGGGATGGCACAGGGGGGATGCGGGATGGGGCTCAGGGTGGATGCGGGATGCTCCATGCCAGCCCCGCTGAGGGCTCTGCTCCCTGCCCTCCCCTCGGCGCCCAGGTTCCTGTGCGGGAAGGAGATCAAAAAGAAGAAATGCATCTTCCGCCTGCGGATCCGCGTCCCCCCGAACCCCCCCAGCAAGGTGCTGCCGGAGAAAGCCCCCGGCGAGGGCGAGAGCGGCTCCTGCGAGCTGAAGAAGAGGGGGAAAAGCAAATACGCCCATAAGGACAGGTGAGCGGCCCCGCTGGCCCCGCGGCAGCAGCAGCAGCAGTACCAGCCCCCTGCCCCTTCCCCTGCCCCTGCCCGAGCCCCCTCACTCACTCCTGCCCTGTTTGCAGCCCCCTGCCCCTGCCCGAGCCCCCTCACTCACTCCTGCCCTGTTTGCAGCCCCCTGCCCCTGCCCGAGCCCCCTCACTCACTCCTGCCCTGTTTGCAGCCCCCTGCCCCTGCCCGAGCCCCCTCACTCACTCCTGCCCTGTTTGCAGCCTCCTCCCGCGGCAGCTCCAGCAGCAGAAGCGAGCGCGGCGCAAGAGGGCCAAGTTCCTGCTGGAGGACGCCATTCCCAGCGTGAGTGCCTGGTCCTCTCCTCCCTGCCCGGCCCTGGGCTGCCCGCAGGTCTGAGAGCTCCTGAGGGCACCGAGGGCTCCTGCCGGTCCCGGGGTGTGGGCAGCACCCCTGTGCCAGGCAGTGAGGAGGGAGCTCTCTGTTTTTGTGACAGAGCGACTTCACCTCGGCCTGGAGCACCAACCACCACCTGGCCAGCATCTTCGACTTCACGCTGGACGAGATCCAGAGCCTGAAAAGGTCTGTGCAGCCAGAGCAGGGCTGTGGGGGACAGGGGTGCTGCTAGTGCCAGGCGGGGGCAATGCGGCATCCCAGACTGTCCCATCCCACCCCATCCACAGTGCCAGCTCAGGACAGACGTTCCTGTCGGACGTGGACTCCACAGATGCCACCAGCACCTCAGGCTCGGCCACCACGAGCCTCTCCTACGAGTCCAGGTGAGGACTGAGCCCCTTGCCCCCTTCTGGAGGGGTCCTGGTGGCATGGCCAAAGATGAGGGCCTGTGTGTCCCCTCTTCGTGTCCCACCCTGGGGAGCTTTCCCTGCCTGTGCCCCAAAACGGGCTGGGGGTCCCAGAGTGGCGCTTGCAGGGGGTGCAGGGTCAGAGCTGTCAGTCCTTGCTGTGCTCCCCAAATGGGACGGAGCTTTCCCGGCTCCCTCCAGAAGGCACCCGGGGTGGGGGGGCACATTTTGTGTGCCACCCTCACTCGTGCCCTGTGCCCTCCCCGAAGCCGCAGGACCGTGGGCAGCCGCAAGCGCAAGCTGGCAGTGCCCGCCTACGCCTCGGGGGCCAAGAGGCGAGGAGCGGCAGAGCCGGGCGGGCATCGCCCCGAGGGCAGCGAGAACCCGGCCGGCCCCGAGCGCCCCGACGGCGGCATCGACAGCCACACCTTCGAGAGCATCAGCGAGGACGACTCCTCGCTGTCCCACCTCAAGTCCTCCATCAGCAGCTACTTCGGGACCGCGGGCCGGCTGGTGTGCGGGGAGAAGTACCAGGTGCTGGCACGGCGGGTGACGCTGGAGGGCAAGGTGCAGTACCTGGTGGAGTGGGAAGGCACCACCCCGTACTGAGCCCTGCCAGCCCCCGAACCTCTCCCGGAGCCAGGGCGGAGCAGATCGGGCTGCTGGGGAAGCCCGAGGCACAGGAGAGGTGCTGGTCCCTCCCGCGGGTGGAGGCAGCGCCCAGGCGGGCAGGGCGGCCCAGCGGTGAAACCTAAAGCCCTGACACTCTGTTTTATTCATGTTAACGATTTTTAGTTCCTTGGCTGTGTTTATGCAGAGCGTAGCCCAGCCGTGCCCTGCTGATGGAGCCGGTGGTGCTCAGAGCACTGAGGGGGTCTGGTCCCTCCAGAAGGGTCCCCCTGGCACAGCTGGAGCAGCTGCTTGGGGGGCACCCCACACCCTCGGCCTGTGCCTGGCACAGCCTGGCTCACCCCATTGTCCCGGCCTGACCGAGCAGCCTCGGGGGGCTCCTGCTGTCCAAACACCAACCCCTCCCCATCCCTGGGCTCCCAGAGCTCATCCCTGCACCCTCGGGAAACTGGGATTTCCCACCTCATCCTGAATCCACTCATTGAAGGAACGTGGTTTGCTTGATATGGGAGGAAATGCCCCAGACCCAGCCCAGGTGTGGCTGTTGCAGCCATGGGGCACATGGGCTCTCACCCCACGGCCTGGACTGAGTGTGTGCTGCCCCAGCTCCATCTCCCTGCTCTGACAATCATGATCTTGGAAGAGATCGTCCAAAAAATCCTCCTTTGCCTTAAAACCACCATGAGCACTGCACAGAGCAGAGCCCAAGGCCTTTGTTCCTACAGGAATCTTCATCCCAAATGTGCCAAACCAGCAGACAAACCAAAAAAGGCTGAGGAGGACAAGGGGTAAAGGCTGTACTGTGTCCACCCCTGTGTCCATCCCTGTGGCCTCCTGGCTGTGCCTCTCTCACAGTGCTGATGTTTGTGAGCACTGGGCTTGATTTGTCTGCAGGAGAGAAGGAGCAGCCCCTCCTCCAACAGAGCAATACTGCCAGCTTGGGCAGGAGCAGAGCAGTTGGCTTTTTAAAAAAGATTCCAGTATCAGATAGATGTGTTAGGTTTTTATCCCTTAGAGAGACAGAGGGGTATTTTTGATGTCCTCCTCCTCTCTCCCCACCCCACCGTGGCTGTCCCAGGGGATGGAGGGAGGGCCATGCTGGGCTGTGGGGTCCTGTCCTACCTGTGCTGGTGGGATCTCACTCATCCAGAGCACAGTGTCCCTGTCCCTTTGGGAGAGGGGCTGCCAGGTCCCCCCATCCCTGGCAGGGAGGGTCCAGCAGCTGGAGAACTGCCTGTCCTGCCTTAGCTTTGCCCTTGAAGGATCACTTCAAACATTTCCCTTTCTGAGTGCCTATGGAGCCCTTCCAAGGGCTGTGCCAGGGCTGAGCAGGGTTGTGCCAGTGGGAGCACCCACAGGATCTGGCCCTGGCCCCTCTCTGCTCCCTCTCCGTTCCCTCTCCTCCTCTCCTGGCTTCTTGCAGAGAATTGAATGTGGAGCCTTTAAAAGTATTTTTGTTGCAGAGTATATTTTGCATTCGCTGTAATAGAGATTATAACAACTCTGTGCACCTTCTGATTTCAGGTTGCTGCTTGTAAGCACCTCTCACTATACCCGAGTTGTAATTAATATGTCTGATGTACAATTAAAAAGTGGGGTTTTTTTCAAAGTCACTGTTTTTCTGTAGTGTGAGGATTGTTGGGTTGGGGTGCCCAGTACGGGTTGTGCTGCTGGGCTGTGCTCTGTGCCAGGTGAGCTGTGCAAGCCCAGGACAGGCCTTTCCTCCTGCCCAGGTAAGAAACTCCTGTTTATTCCCTTCCCGGTCACTTAAATACCCCAAAAATGTCCCCTAAGTTATGTCCCAGACACCATGAACATGAGGATCCTTCTACAAAGCTCAGCTCAGGTGGGGTAGGGGCACAGTGCCAGCAGGACCTCGAACTGTGCAATGGGGAAGAAGGTAAGGGTGTAGAAGTCTCTTTTTAGGCCGATGGGGATTTTGAAGTTTATAATGAATTTTCATTCTCAGAAGGAGGTGAGAATGTTCCAGAGTGGATGTAGATTGCTATTGGGATTAGGCTGATTAAGAAGGAGGTTTTGGCTGTGTTTGTAATTGTGTTGGGAGTGTTCTTGAGGTTGTTGGATAGAAGTGCAAATAGGATGGGGGTGGAGAGGGTTGCCAGGGTTAAGAGTATGAACGTATTTAGGACTAGTGAGAGGTCCATTACTTTCACTTGGACTTGCACCAAGGTGAGTGGCTCCTAAAACCATTGGATTACTATTATCCTTTATACCACTACCCGTGGTCCTGCTGGCACCTGGGCTCCCCGACCTGGCCCACCCAGCTCATCCCAGCTCACAGGGAGGGCTGAATGCTGCTGGGGTTTCTGGGGTTTGCTGGGGTTTGCTGGGGTTTGCTGGGGTTTGCTGGGGTTTCTGGGGTTTGCTGAGGTTTGCTGGGGTTTGCTGGGGTTTGCTGGGGTTTGCTGGGTGTTGCTGGGCTTTGCTGGTGTTTGCCAGGCAGGGTCAGGGCTGGCTGTGGGGACACACGGCACCGCCAGGCCACGGCTCCCGGCTGGAATTCGCTGCTGACAGCCCCGAGTGTCCTGACAAGAGCATCCTCAGGCACAGCTTTGGGTGCAGGCAGCCCTTCCCAGCTCATCCTGCACCGGCTCCAGGCTGCCCAGCGCTCAGGGACAGGCAGAGGAGTGGAGATTTCCCAGTCCCGAGCTCCTGTGTCACAGCAAACCCCAGAAGATAAAATCTGCCTTATGACTCCCCAAAAATGAGCGGTACTTTGTGCCTCTCAGTGCCGTGGGACGTTCTCCTCCATCCACCGGAGGTAGGCAGGGTTCCCCTGCTCGATGGGCAGGCTGATGATCTCGGGGATTTCAAAGGGATGGATGGATCTGAAGTGGAAACAGGCGCGGAGCAGCAGCACAGTCAGGAAGCCGCCCCAGCCCTGCCCGGCCCTCCCACACTTCAAAGCCCCCACAGCTCCTTTGTGCCACGTGGGAATTCTGCTCTGGGTTTGGGCTCACCGCAGACTGCCGGGGCTGGCCCCAAGCTGAGAGAGCCTCCCTGCCCCGGGAGCTGCAGGAAATCCTGTCAGGGAATGATAACCGGTGTGGGGAGCAGAATCCCTCCTCGAACCCAGCAGTTGGTATTTCTGCCACCTTTTCCTTTTTGCTGGTGCCATCTCTGGGCTTTTCTGGCTTGTGAGATACAGCAGGAGCACTTAACCCCCTCTGGGTGGGATGGGGCTCAGGGAATCCCCAAAGCTGGGGCAGGAGGTGACAGCCTACCTTGGATGGGACACCCAGTGCTCCTGTGGAGCCAGAGCCTCACCTGACGTAGTTGGACAATTCCCCTATTTTGGACGTCCTTGTTTTCACCAGCTGTGGAGAGTAAAAATCCAGAACAAACCTCAAGGGAGATGTGAGGGGATTGAGGGGTCCTGGTGTGCAGCTCCATTGTCCCACCCAGCATGGCCAGGGTGTGACAGGAGCTCTCCATGCACGACCAGGGTGTGACAGGAGCTCTCCATGCACATCCAGGGTGTGACAGGAGCTCTCCATGCACGACCAGGGTGTGACAGGAGCTCTCCATGCACGACCAGGGTGTGACAGGAGCTCTCCATACACAGCCAGGGTGTGACAGGAGCTCTCCATGCACAGCCAGGGTGTGACAGGAGATCTCCATGCACATCCAGGGTGTGACAGGAGATCTCCATGCACATCCAGGGTGTGACAGGAGCTCTCCATGCACAGTCAGGGTGTGACAGGAGATCTCCATGCACGACCAGGGTGTGGCAGGAGCTCTCCATGCACGACCAGGGTGTGACAGGAGCTCTCCATGCACAGCCAGGGTGTGACAGGAGCTCTCCATACACAGCCAGGGTGTGGCAGGAGCTCTCCATGCACAGCCAGGGTGTGGCAGGAGCTCTCCCAGCATGGCCAGGGTGTGACAGGAGATCTCCATGTACATCCAGGGTGTGACAGGAGCTCTCCATGCACGACCAGGGTGTGACAGGAGCTCTCCCAGCATGGCCAGGGTGTGACAGGAGATCTCCATGTACATCCAGGGTGTGGCAGGAGCTCTCCATGCACAGCCAGGGTGTGGCAGGAGCTCTCCATGCACAGCCAGGGTGTGGCAGGAGCTCTCCCAGCATGGCCAGGGTGTGACAGGAGATCTCCACGTACATCCAGGGTGTGACAGGAGCTCTCCCAGGGCTCCTCCACTCCCGGGGGATGGTCCCAAACCCAGCAGGTTGGTGCCACCCTCCCCAACTCTCCCTGCAGCTCCTTTCAGCTGGGGCCGTTTGCAGCAGGGGTTTTTGTGATGTAGGGAATGATCACTTACCAACAGTATTTCAGTGGATTCTTCCAGCTCCCCTTTCCAGAAATACCTGGATTTAAAAGAAAAGCAGCATCAGCAAATCCAGCTCTGCTGCAGCCACGCCAACCCTGGGGATCCTTTCCCTGCTTGGTGCTTTTTGCACGTGGCCATTTCCTTACAAAGCGGCTCAAGAAGCATTGCTGGCCCCAAAACTGCTGAGCACAGGGGTGAACACCCCAGATTTATGGACAGGAGCCGCCTCCAGAGGATTTGCCCAGGGGGGCAGATTTGTCAGGGCAGATTGGCTGGGCTGGGGTGGCTCTGAGCATGGCTGGGGGACAGTGCCTGCAGGGACAGTGCCTGCAGGCTGAGCTTTCCTCCTCTCTTTCCCTGCAGGAGAGGAGCTGCACTTCTCATGAGTCAGATGTGACCTTTGAAAGCATTTCCGCTGCCAGGAGCTGTCCTGATCTCATCTGCCTGCAGGGGAGGGCTCGGGCAGGGCAGGATCCTGGAGCAGGATCCAGCTGGAGCTGCAGGAGCAGCTCTGCTCTGCCCCTCTGCGCTTGTAGGAAAGGATGGACAAGACAAGGGGAAGAAGTTACTGGGTTTGTAGGAAATGATGGATTAGGGGAAGAAGGGCATTAGTGGGTTTGCCCTCTGCGTTTGTAGGAAAGGATGGATTAGAGGGAAAAGTGAGTTACTGGGTTTGCTCTCTGGGTTTGTAGGAAATGATGGACAAAGGGAAGAAGGGAGTTACTGGGTTTGCCCTCAGGTGGGATATGGGTTCGCACTGTGGGATCCCCTCCTGAGGGAAGCTGGGGTGGGATCTGCTCCTCACTTCTGCCAGGGGGTTTCTGTGAGGAAAAGCTGTTTTGGGGCTTTGCTGTTGAGGACACCTGCAGAGCAGGGCTGGGCCTGTTCCAAGGTCAAACCCGCTGTTCTTCCTGCCTGACAAAGCTGCTTCATTTTGCAAAAGCCTTTTCTGCTCCCTGTTTGGCTGCTTTTTAGAGTCTCTAATAACAGGCACCACGTCCTCAGGACCATAAACCCTAAATTGCTGGATGTCTGTGCAGCCAAGTACCCAATAAAGGAACGGGCAGTGAGAGCATCTGCCCTCCTCAGTGAGCACAGGGAGGCTCATCCCCGCCATCTGCAACAACAAACACACCCAGCAGCCTCTGGAACCGAGCTCTGTGTCCATCCCCTCCTTCCCTCCCTCCCTGCAGAGCCCAGGTTTGCTCCTCCTGGGGGAATGCCCAGCACTACTCACAGGGCCGAGCTCTTGGGCAGGATGTTCACACAGGCAGCCAGCCTCCTGTCCATGATGGCCCTGGGGACACAGGGGGACACTCAGTGCCAGCCCACAGCTCACCCCAGCCCTGGGACATTCCCTTGTCAGCTTTGACACGGGAGACACTGAATTTTGGGTTACTTATTACGCTGAGAAAACAAAGGTGAACTTTGGCTGGGGATATTTCAGATCAGGGCTCTGGGACCCTCCCTGTGCTCAGGAGGGACTTTGGGGGCTGCTCCTGGCCTGGAGGACCCTGCCCAGTGCCAGCCCCTCTGGCTGTGGGGTCACCAGGGCAGGGACTGAAATGTGGGACCACAAAAACCCAGCCTGGCTTTGTCTGCCCCTGTCCAGCTGTGCCCCTTCCTCCCAGAGCAGCCTGAATGTGCATCCCAAATTAAAAACATCAAGGTTTTCCAACCCAAAATATCCTAGAAAGCTGAAGCCCAGGTAGATTCCTTCCCTCCATGAGTTGAGGGCTGTTTGTTATTGCAGAGCTGCTCGGGAAGAAGGGACACCTCAGAGATTACAGAGCACTGAAGCAGCCTCAGGGAGGAGTTTTAGAAGAAAGGAAGAAGGGTTTAGAAGAAGGATTTTTGGAAGATTTTTAGAAGAAATGCTGTGTTTGGTGAGCAGAGCAGTGTCTGGCCCCTCTCACAGAGGTGGCAGCTGTCCCACAGGCAGGGCACCAGTGACCCCACCTTGGTTTAGCACTGCTTTGGGGGACCATGGCTGGAGAGAAGGAGCCCCCCAGGATGCTCAGGGCTGTTTGGGCTGTTTGCTCCCACCATGTGCAGGCAGCTCCAGGCATTCAGTGCTCCTGGAGCATCTTGAGTTAATCTTCAGAGCAACAAAGTGCAGCAGCACGAGCAGAGCCACCCCTGCTGTGCCTGTCGTGTCACACATGGCACAAATCAGTCTGGATCTGCTGCCTGCAACTTGCAGCTCCTTCAGCACAGGAACCTTTTGGTTTCGGTGCTCTGTCCCCATAAATTGAGATCCTGAGATCCTGAACTCGGTCCCAGCAAGCTGAGCAGCAGCAAGAGGCCACCAGGGGAACAGAGGACATTGTGAGAAGCTGAATGTGATCTGTGGAAAATGCCTGCATAATACATGATGGCTTTGAGTTGGGTATTTAATTGTGTGTTTCTTTGCCCTGAAGTGAGACAGATGAAATATTAATAAGCAGAAAAGCAAAGAAAATGATAAACACAGATCTAAGGCAGCAGTGGGGGCTGGGGGGGGGTGCTGGGCAAGCTGGGTGAGGTGCAGTGGCCACACCACCCAGCCAAGGGGGTCAGCTCCCCCTACGACCGGACAGAAGGTCTTGAGATGCTGAATTCTACCTGCAGCTCTTCTGCTTTCCCAAAGCTGCAACCCCTTCTCCTTAAACCAGTGGAAAATTTCCTTGCAGACTGATCCATGTGAGTGCGGGCTCCACTGAGCAGTGCAAAGGAAGAACAAACACAGGAAAAGGAGTGGGGGAAAATGAGTGCAGAAGCCCTGTGTCATCCCCTGCAATCAGGGCTCGCTGCTCCCAGCTCCAGAACAAAGGAATAATTACTCCACCAGTAAAACCACAACCAAAGTACACATATCTCAGCAAGGGGAAGTGATTTATCTCCTCTCCCTTCCCTGCAAGATGAGCAACAAGGAGTGGAAAGCATTTGCAAAGCTGCTAAGATGAGGCATTTTCAGGAACTGAGGCTCTTTTCACCAGGTACAGTTGCTCCTTTTTTTTATAGGAGACATCGAGCAGAGCAGACATAATTCTATTTGAATTCCTCAACACAGTTGCAGTATTTAAGGTGACACAAACTCCCTTTCAGTAGGCTGTCAGTTCCTGAGCGTGTCTGGGAGCCCTTTGCTGGGATGGAGGGGTTTTGGCAGCAGGAAAACAGCGCAGGAGGTGTTGCAGGAAACTCCACGGTCCATCATAAACACTTCCCAGGCAACACGGGTTCAGTTCTTTGAACAGACCATCCATTGAGGCAGGGCTGACAGATGTGTGAAAAGAACTCTGCATGCAAAATATCACCCTAAGTGTCTCACATATTGAAACAGAAGGAGAAAATCGAGGGAAAGCCCTCATTCCCTGAGGTTTGCCTGGTGAGCAGAGACCTCAGAAGTGTTTGTTGTGGACCCTTTTCCCTTTATTTTCATGTCAGAGCACTGTGCCTTGTCTCTCTCTGTAAATATCCCTCCTGGCATTTTGTTGTCTAGAGAGGAATAAAGACTGTGGCAATCAGAGAACATCAGCTTGGAGCCTAATCCACCTGAGAACCCAGAAACTCAGGGTTCTTGGAAAATGCAAGGCAGTGAAATGCATGGAGAACTGCTTGCTGTTACCATGGCATTGGCTCCAGAGGCAAATGCCAGCTTTCCTTGGGACAGAGCAGCTCTGGGCAAGGGCTTGTGGTGCACTCAGTGGAAAGGAGCGTGGATGGGGTATTGCAGAATGGTTTGGCTTGGGAGGGACCCTAAATTTCATGTCACTGCCGTGGTTAGGACACCTTCCTCTATCCCAGTTGTTCCAATCCCAATGTCCACCCTGGCCTCAAAACCCTGCTGCTCTGGGCACCCTGAATTGCCAAGGCCAGGGGGACAAGGATAAATTCAGCTTTGCTGCAGCCCCTGCAGGGGTGGTGTGGCCGTACCTGGCGATGTCCCTGGCGATGTGCTCGTTGAGGCAGGTGACAAACACCACCGAGTGTGTCCCTGGCACGTAGCTGCCCGTGAGAGCCGAGTGCAGCTGCAGAGCCAGGCCCCGGAGCAGGGGGTGCAGGAGCAGCAGCAGCGCCAGCACCTCGGAGAGAACACCAGGGGTGGTGGGAGGTGAGATATTGCACGAGATATTGCACTTGGGAAACAGCACTGGCACTGTCTGGCGCTGGAGGGACATTTCTCAGCATTGCAGGAACAGGTCAAATTGAATTAACTAATTAATTAATTGAATTAATTCAGTTTAACCGGTTCAATTGGATTAAGGTGAGGATTCTCAGGTGAGTGCATCAAGGGGAGTGCTCAGGTGAGTGAATTAAAGTGAGAACCTGCTCCTAGAGGGATTAATTCCCCTCCTAAGGGCCAATCTCATGCTCAGGGCAGGACAGGGGCACTTCTGAGGCTGTATCAGCCCAGGCCCCAACTGTGGGAGGTCACCCCCAGACTAATGGGGGTCCCAGACCCCATCCCAGCAGCCAGGATGGGCTTTGTACAGGAGAATGAGGAGGTAAGACATGGAATGGGGAGGTTAATCTGGAGGGCTGAGCAGCAGCTGAAGGATGGTGCCACTCTGGGCTGCAGCGCCTTCCCTTTGTCTTTTGTTTTGTTTCTGACATAAACAGCATCTGGCCCTGGTTCAGCTGCAATGATTTTAAAAATGCTAAGAATATATCCCTTTTCCCCCCTTATTTTCACCCTCCTTTTTCCTCTGAAAAACCTGCCATTACAGCACTAATGTAGAAATCTCTCCCTTCTATTTCTTTACTTTTTAAAATTGAATTAAAAATCTCTCTTGTCACCACAAAGCCAGGAGCTCCTTTCCATTTGGAAAATGACTGATGTGCTGTATTGCTTGTCTCCTCTTTCCCAATCCATTTGAGGAAATATTCTTTATTACCACAAGACTTCTCATCATAATTTTTAGAGCTCCTTCTGTGCTCCTTTTTTTCCCACTAAGCCATTTAACAAATATTATACAACAAATCCCAGAAGCTCCTCGGTGAGTTACAAGCCAAGCAGAGATGTGCTGCTGTACCTATTTTTCCAGATTAAAATGTAATCATGCTCCTTGCTCAGGGAAAAAACAAACATCCAACCTGTTCAGCCTGATGATCATTAATCTTCTTGTAAAATCTTCCTCTTCATGTGATGAGGAAATCCCCAGGATCATTTGTGATTGAATATTGGCACAAACATGAACACTACCTTGTTTTTTTTCTGGTGTTTCCCACCTTTTTTATGAAAAGGAAGATTTTCCACCCCTTTTTTTCCAGAATAATTGTATTTGCTAAGGGATGGTGCAAAAAAGGAGTGAAACATCAGGATTCCTGCCTGATAAACCAATTAAACTCATGATTGCTAAAATACTGAAGTGAAAGAACTGGAAACATCCCTGTGAGGATTTAAGAACTTCACAGAAAAACAGAAAATGCCAGTTTAGTGCAGAGAGACTCAGATTTCTGCAACACTTCTCCTGGCTTTGGTGAGCTATAAACCGCTTTAGGTTTAGACCCTGCCAGGATTTTTGCCTGGTTTTGACAAGATTCTGTTAAAAAACCCCAACTGAACAACCCCATCTGAGCACAATTTGTGGCAATGCTGAGCGTAAAAAAACCTGAAAATTTGCCTTTCTCCCAGCAGATAGAGGGAGTCCCCCCCTCCTGCACGATGGCTTTGGGGAGAGGTTTGCTAACAGAGGCACACACAGATATTGCCATGGTGGGTTGGTGTGGGTTGGGGTCTGTTGTGCTCCCCAGGGATTGTCCCAGGATTGACCCCCATCCCATCCATGTGTCCATCCCTGCATCCATCCCAGCCCCATGTCCGTCTGTCCTCATGTCCATCCCCATCCCAGCCCTGTGTCCATCCCAGCCCTGTGTCCATCCCCATGTCCACCCCATCCTTGTGTCCATCCCATCCCCATGTCCATCTATCCCCATCGCATCCATGTGTCCATCCCTGCATCCATCCCAGCCCCGTGTCCATCCCTGTGTCCAACCCAGCCCCCTGTCCATTCCATCCCTGTGTCCATCCTCATCCCAGCCCCGTGTCCGTCCCGTCCCCGTGTCCATCCCCGTGTCCCTCCATCCCTGTGTCCATTCTCGTGTCTGCCCATCCATCTCCGTGTCCATCCCCATGTCCCTCCATCCCCGTGTCCGTCCCCGTGTCCGTGTGTCCATCCCCGCACTCACCAGCAGCGCGGTGCCGCGGCCGGCCCGGGCCCAGCCCTGCGCACCGGGGGCCATCGGGCAGCGCTGCCTGGGCCCCTCCATGCCCGGCGTTCCCTCCACCTGCCGTGCCCGAGCCGGGAGCGCCGCCGGACACAGCGCTGGCTCCTCCTCCTCCTCCTCCTCCTCCTGCTGGCCTTCCTCCCGGCCGGGCCCGCCCGCTGCGGGGCTGCGGGACCGGACCGGACAGCGCGGTGTGCCCTGCTGCCACCGCCGGGCCGGGGGACAAATACCGGCCTGGGCACCCCAAAGTGGGCCCAGAGCCCGATCGGGGCTGGGCACCCCACACTGGGCTCAGAGCCCCGAGCTGGTGCCGAAGTTTCCAGGTGGTCCCTCAGTGCCAGCCCCGGAGCCCGTCCCGGTGCTCTGAGACACGCTGACCCCATTTGTCACTTTCGCTTCCTTTTCCCTGTCTATAAAATGGTAATTTTCTCAGATTTCGTCTGTTTGGGGGTCTCTGGATGGAAACCGCCGGGCAGCGGCTGAGTCCCGGCGGTTTTTGTACCCAAAATCTCCCGGGAGGAACGCGTGACAGAGCCGAGCGCTGTTTGTCCCACGTTGGAACTTTATTGTCCCCCGTGTGACTTTTCACTGTCCCCCTGTCTGTCCCCACGATCTCTCAGCATTCCCTCCTTGCCAGCCCGCAGGACCCGCCTGTCTGTCTGTCACAGGTTTATTTGACGGAATCCTGCGCGGAGCTGGAGGCACAAAGTTACAGGAGTTATCTGACAGCATCGATTTGTTCGCAAAACGTGAGAAAAGGAGGGGGTGGCACGTTCTCCGCACCGGGAGCTGCCCCGGGCACGCACCGGGATGGGACCGGCTGTTCCTGCGCTCTCGGGATCGGCGCTTTCCCTCCCCGATCCGGATAAACGCCGTTTATCGCAGCTTTGCCAAAAAACGGCGACACTGTGCACCGACCTCCGGCCCCGCTCAAGGGATGGAGACCGACCAGGCCGACGGGACCACGACCCCCTCGTTACCGGGGACCCCGCCCCCTCCTCATTACGGGGGACCCCGCCCCCTCCTCATTACCGGGACCACGCCCCTCCTCCTTACTGGGACCCCGCCCCCTCCTCCTTACTGGGACCGCGCCCCCTTCATTACCGGGGCCACGCCCCTCCATTACCGGGGCCACGCCCCTTCCGCGCACAGCCAGCCAATAGGATGGAGCCGGGGGGGCGTGACACGCGGACATTTTGTTTACATTTTGCCAGACGCCAAAGGCGCCCTTAGCAAAGGCGCGGCGGTTGCTAAGGGTGACGCGAGTTCTCGCGATATCCCCGCCCGGCCGTCGCTACGGGCGACGTGAGTTCACGCGAGACTGCCGGGAGGTGGCGGAGGCGGCCAAGATGGCGGAGGCGGCGGCGGAGCTGCTGGAGCGGGCGGCGCGGCGGGACGCGGCCCTGGAGGAGCTGCGGGCCCTGCGGGTCGCCGTGCAGGCCGTGCCGCTCGCCGCCCTCCGCTCCCGCCTCGCCGAGCACCACCTGAGGGCGCTCTTCGGCCTCCTCGCCGTCAATGACCGGTGAGCTCCGGTGGGCCTGCCCCGCCCCGCTGCTGTTCTCCCGGAGCGGGCGGTCCCGCCGCCTCCCCGGCTCATTCCCTGCCCTCTTTCGGGCCGGGAGGTGGCACAGCGGTGTTCCTCTCCTCAAGGGCTCGCTTTTCTCTCCGTCCCGCGCAGGGAACAGGTGTCCGCGTGTGTTTCCATCCTGGAGAGGCTCCTGCAGGCCCTGGACCCGCTTTACGTGATCCAGAGCCTCAGGGAGGAGCTGCACAAGGGCCTCTTCCACCCCGATGACTCCGTGAAGATCCTCGCCATGTCCCAGGTACAGGCTTTCCTCCAGGAGAGGACAGAGCTCTGGGTTAGTCCCCATCTGCTCTTTCCTGCCTTTGTGATAAAAGCAGGAATTGTGTCCTACGCTTGTGCCGTTTGGGGTAATTATTGTGCACTGTGTATAATGCTTTGTGATATACCAGTAATAATGTCCAAAACTATGTCCTGACAAAAGCAGGTTGTGAATAAAACTTCTGCCACATGTCCTAGTTAAAGCTTTCCAGGCCAGCAGGTGATAGAAGAACTAAAAGCAGCAAAAATTTGATATTTAGGGTATTTTACACTATTATGGAAACACCAAACAGGCTGTGGGAGCTCGACACTTGCTGCATTGATTTTAAAGAAAAGGATTGTGGGGTGTTGTGGTTTGGGGTGGATTTCTAGAAGTTCAGCTGAGAGCAGCTGCTCAGGTGTTGTCCAGTTGAGTTTTATCCAAAGACCTCAAAAAATTGTGACTCTGGTTTCTGTTCAGCTGCTCCAGTGCTTGAGTATCCTTACAGTGGGAAAGAATTTGTCCTCATGTTATTTTCTGTGTGTCTTTGATCAGGTTGGGAGGATTGTTGAGGACTCAGCTGCTGTCCCAGAGATTCTGCACAGCCCTGAGCTGTTACAGCAAATCATAAACTGCATTGGAGAGGAGAAAATAGCAGTGGCCAAAGAGGTAAAGGTGCCTTTGTTGACCCATAGCTGTAGTTAATAAAGAGCTAAAACCTGATAGTCTTGGATTTTCTTCTCTGTGTGATTTGTTCCTTTTTAATAATGTGGAAAATGCCAATCACTTGTTTTTAAAATTTTAAAAAATTAATAGTAATAAAATGGTGATAAAAATAGTAATACAATTAGAGTAATAATCATTTGGATAATTTGAATTAGGTCAGTATGAGACCATAGAAACAAAGAGTTATGGATGGCAGCACAAGCCTGAAAAAGGACCCACAGTTAGCAGAGAATTAACCCTTAAAAACAACAGCCTGTTGCATATTCATACACCTCATACATGATGCATAAATTCCATTCAAACACAGGATTGTCTCTGGTCATCTTCAACTTCTTCCTCTGAATCCTAATGGGAAGAAGTTCATTTCTCCTGATAATGGAGCAATTAATTCTCTTTCTCTGAAAGATTCAGGTGTCCTGTGGCTGCTATCTCACTGAGAGTCCTTTCTTTAAAATAAAGTATCCTACATAGCACAGTTTCTATTTTAACATTTTGTTATAACCTAAAACTGTATTTAACACACTACTCAAGGGAATTGATACAGCATTACTTTCAAACATAGCACGTATAATATTCATTTTTATATTTGTGAAAAGCCAATCATAAAATATGTGTTTTTTCACACTAACAAGCTCTGGTTTTGCTTGCAGGCTATCAAATCCCTGTCCAGGATAGCCCAGAGCCAGGAGGGGCTGGAGGCTCTGTTTGGGAGCAGCTTGCTGGGGGACCTGAGGAGGGTCATGGCCACCAGTGACATCGTTCGCTACCGGGTCTATGAGGTACAGGGCTCCTCCTCTGCTGCTCTGCTTCCAGCCTGCCTTTTGTGGCTTTTACATCATTGTTTCTCACTGCTTCACCCCCTTTCCTTCGTGTCTGTGTTGTACCAAAACTAGAAAGGAGTGGGAAATGACATCATGAGAGCCCCCATGCTGCAGTAACTTCTCTTTCTCATTTGTGTGAATTGCTGTTCGTTTTCTAACTTGTGGTGCCTAAGGCATTGGAAGGGCTACACAGTAAAGGCACCAGAAAGTGTTTGTTTCTCTGAAAATAAAAGTAAAATACTCAACTGTAGCCTCTTGACTTTTGGATGTGAAGTGCTGCTAAGAGTTTTGGAGAGATGCCAGCTGTCAGTCTAGAGATGTTTGGCAAAGGAGGAATAACACAATTTAATCATTCTAGAGCTTAATGGGGATAGCACAGGAAGAGCTGATTGTGAATAGAGATCAAATTCAAGTGCTGGAAACTTGGAACTCCTTAAGAAGTTGCTTCAGGCAGACATTTGGGTTAATAATAAAAATGTTGTTAAATGTGATTCCATATTTAATATATGTAAGGTTAACTAGCACAGAAGATGTATTTAGCTGTTGCAGTGAATTATTGTAATGTTTTTATAAACTGTCCTTTTTGCTTTTATTTAGTTAATTGTGGAGATTTCATCAGTGTCAGCAGAGTCTCTGAATTACTGTGCCAGCAGTGGGTTAATCTCGGAGTTAATTGGGGAGCTGACTGGAGAGGATGTGCTGGTCAGGTATGTTGGTGAGTGTGCCAAGGACATTTCCACCACTGTTAAAACTCTAACAAATGTATTTGTGTGTGTTTCTATAAAACGAAAAACGCTGTACCTGCCTCTCCTTAAACTGTCTTGGGTGTCAGATAGTTCATACCTTAATGGAGTGATAATTACCGTGTCTGGCTGCAGCAGAAACATTTTCAAGCTCTTTCCCAGATCTAAAGAGCTGAATAGTTGGGATAATTTGGGTTTCTTTGCTAGGATTGTGTCCTATGGGTGTGGTTTCTTTTTGTTAATCACTGAGTGCTTCAAGCCTTACTGAAACAACCCCAAATCTGGTTTTTTGGCGTTGCAGGGCCACGTGCATCGAGATGGTGACAGCGCTGGCCCACAGCCCGCAGGGCCGGCAGTACCTGGCCCAGCAGGGAGTGATCGACAAGATCTCCAACATCATCCTGGGGGCACAGTCTGACCCCTTCTCCAGCTTCTACCTGCCAGGTGGCACTGAATTCCTCCTTGCCAGCCTTTGCTGCTTGCTTTGGTGCTGGGTTAAATGGGCAGCCCTGCCAAGCCTCTCTGCTGAAAGCTCAGGGGAAATTCTGAGTATTAGATTGTCCCTCAGTGTTTTTAAATATCCAATATTGTACATATCCAGTCTGAAGGATGTTCCTCAGTAAGATCTGGACAGACTGTGCTGTAGCTTTAAATTCTGTGTTATTGTAGCCTTTTTTAGGAGTACAAACATCATGAATTAAGCAACAGTCAAAATATTTGGCTTGTTGCTTAGTTCTGTCTTTATTTTGAGCTCTTTACCAACCAACACTGTTCAGCCTTAATACCACATGTTTAGGAACAAATCAGTCTCATGTTAATGTACATTTAATTTTGCCGTTGCTGAAGTTGCTGTTCTTCCACTCAATGCTTTTTTTGGTTTTGTTTTCTCAGGATTTGTTAAATTTTTTGGCAATCTGGCTGTTGTGGACAGTCCCCAGCAGATCTGTGAGCGCTACCCTGTCTTTATGGAAAAGGTCTTTGAAATGGCAGAAAGTCAGGATCCAACCATGATTGGGGTGGCTGTGGACACACTGGGAATCCTGGGATCAAATGTGGAAGGCAAACAGGTTTTACAGAAAACCAGTTAGTATCTTCTTTATTTAATAATACTTTATAATATTTGAGTTGGTTTGGGGTGATACACAAAGGAATGGAAAAAATATTCACTTATCTAATGAATAAATTTATATTGTAACTGGTGGGTAACAATACTCCTGTAGAGATCTGGCTGAATTAATTAAGAGCACTTTGTTTTTGTTTTGAAAGGAAGTAGATTTCAAAATCTCTTAAGCAAAATGGGGCACCAGGCCAAGAATGCCCCCACCGAGTTACGGCTCCGCTGCCTGGATGCCATTTCATCCCTGCTTTACTTGCCTGTAAGTTGGGCTTTTTTTGTCTTTGTTTTTTCTTTAAATCTCCAAGAATGCAATCATCACACACCTGAGTAACTGTGGGAGACATTTTGCAGCCTCTAGGTTGGGTGGCAGTGGTGCTTTCAGTGTTCTGAGTCGTGGATTTACTGGTTTGAAATTCCCTGGTTGGTTTGCTGAAGGTTTGGGTTTGTTTGTAAGGTGCCAGGTGTTCTGAAATGTTAATAAATGATAAAGTCAAGACTTCATTGATGAGGGAATGAGAGTAAGCAGGTTCACATCCTTGTGCTCAGAGGGATGGGGGCAAACTGCTCCAGTCCCTGTGGTCTTAACCCAATCTCCAGGGATCTGGGTTAACAGTGTAGCTCTAAAGAGGTGATTAAACCATTTGAACACATCCCAAAAACCTGAAAGCCTTTCATAATCCTAATCAAACTCTCATTTTTGTGATTATGCAGCCAGACCAGCAGACAGAAGACCTTTTAAGAATGACTGAATCCTGGTTCACATCCTTGTCCAGCCAGCCCCTGGAGCTGTTCAGGAGCATCAGCACTCAGCCATTCCCTGATCTCCACTGTGGGGCTCTACGGGTCTTTACTGTGAGTGCTTTTGGTTTGAAACATCAGGGGGGGGACTTGTGGTGCCCTTCAGTCTCAGATTTATTTATTTCTTCAAAGTGAATACCACCAACTTCTAGTTGAAGTGGTCAGAAAAAGGCCTTGTTCCTCAGGCCCCACTTGGCTTCCCCATTTAAATGATGCAGCAGACACATTATGTCTGTAATGCTAATTTTCTAATAAATTGGAGAGGGGGATAAAAAAGGCAAGAGCTGTGCTCCAAGGTGCTGCTTCTCTAGCAGAGACACTGCTGTGATAATTCCCTCAAAACTCTGAGCTCTACTTGTTCTCCAGTGTTAAACCCTGCTGCTTGATTTGAGTGGTGGTTTCTTATATTATTTAATTTTTCCTGTTCCTTGTCCCTGTACTAAAACCCTACTGTGTAACTGCTTTTTTTAAAATGTTCCCCCCACCTCTCACATCTTTTGTTTCCTGTTCAGGCCATTGCAAACCAACCATGGGCCCAGAAGCTGATGCTGAGCAGCCCAGGGTTTGTGGAGTACGTTGTGGACAGATCTGTGGAGCCTGACAAAGCTTCAAAGGATGCAAAATACGAACTGGTGAAGGCCCTGGTGAACTCCAAAACCATTGCAGAGATCTTTGGCAATCAGTACTACCTGAGGCTCAGGGCTTACATGCTCGAGGGCCCCTATTATGTTCAAGCAGCTTCTACTACAGCTGTGGAAGGAGCAGAGTAATGTCCTGGGTGTCTGGGGTGCCCCTCTTGCAGAACACAGTCCTGGCACAGGTGTTGAGGTACAAGGTGTAAAAACTCTCCACACTGGAGGTGTCTCTGTAAAGGAGTGTGAAGGTATTTTGACTCTTATTTGAAATGAGTCAGGAGAGCAAATTAAAGGTTGTTTGGTATTTCCCCCCTAAAATGTCGTGGCAGAAGTTCCCTGTGTGCCTCATGAGGCAGGTAACCCAGGTGAGCACTTGGCAGCTGCTGGCTGTTTTATTTGGCAGAATTTATCAGTGTTTGTTTCAATTGTTCTTGGGTTTGGAGTTTCTGTTGTGTTTTCTCAGTAGGTTACAGTTCAGTTAAAAAAAAAACCACCAAAACACCTCAAGGTTTGTAACCTCAGATGCTGCCATAATTTATATTCTTTTTTAATTCCTTTTTTTACCTGCCAGAGTTGGCACTTGCATGGAACACTCTGTTCTGTCAGAATCCTGTTGCTGAGTAAGTGACAGTGTCCACATGAGGGAGTATGGACTGGATTCTCTTGTTTTCAACCTGCTGGATGTGAGTCTTGCTGGAATAAATAATCCTAAATATTGTTTACATTTTCTGCTGAGGATTTAAAAAGAAAAAAAGGTTTTTAGCCCTTTTAGAAACAAATCATTGCACTCTGTAGGGATCAAACCCACCAGGGAGCTCTGTGTCCCTGGCTGGCTGTGCTGTGGGGTGGCAGCTCAGTTTAGTGGCTGGAGCACTACAAGGCTATTCAGAACCAAATCTTGAATTGTTTACACTATTTTTTAACAGAGATGCAATTTTTTAAAGTGTTATTTAAAGAAATGTGGTATTTTAGTTACCTGAGTTAGATCATGAAAAGGGATGAGAACACGGAGCTCTTGTGTGCAGGGAGTGAATGAAGTGGGAGTATGGAAATGTGGCATCTTGAGATGTTGGAATCTTCTTTTGAAGATGCCAGAGCTGTGGCAGAGAATCAGGAGTGGCTGGGCACTCCATGGTGTGTGTCTTTGCCCATAAACAGAGACCACAGGGTATTTCTGTCAAAGCCTTGTATTCTTTTTGTTGAGGGGGAGCAGAATAAAACAAGAAATTAATACTTTGGGGCTTTTTTTAGTAAAGTGTGGCTGTGGGGAGCCCTGTCCTGTGTCCCTGTGCTGCCAGGGAAAGCAGGGGGAGCTGTCCTGCAGGAACTCTGGCTTTGCCTGAGGTAGGTGGAGGTGCAGCTGGCATTGCGTGCCAAAAATTGCTGCCAGGAGAGCTCAGAGGAGCTGGGGGAGATCCCTTAATGTTTGCTAAGCTGTCTAAATGCAGGTGAGGTGCCTTGTTCCCCAAGATGTCCCTGAGATGTCATCCTGCATCCCAATGCTGCTGCTTTTACCCTCAATGTGCCCAATAAAGATCTGCCAGTGAGAAATGCACTGCAGTGTCTCATGGCTGGAGAGAGCTCAGGAGCTCCATGGATCCTGCATCCAGCAGACACTTTAAAGCACTAAAAAGGAAATAAAAGAGTGTACAAGTCCTTAGCTTGCACTTGTTCTGGGCAGTTCAGCTCTGTTATTATAGGTGGCTTTGTGTGCTGGTGGCTCTGTGCAGCCATATGCTGAAATGTCAGTAAAAGAAATCAATATATAAACCTGTTCTGCAATTCATGAGCCTCTTCCATGTGTGTTTTCAGCTGGTGCTTTTGAAGGCTACTCTGTGTGCTGAGTATTTAGCATCTGCTTTGCATGGTACATTTGCCAAAGACAATATTTTAGAATGTGCAGAGATGCCAAACAAGGGGATTTTTTTTATGTATACACATATGCTTTATTTTGTTGAGCTTTGAGCTCAGAGTTGATTGATTAATTGATCACTTTCCCCTTATTACTCAGAGGCAGTTCCCTGCCCATGCTGTACATTGCCATATGGATTACATGCTGCTGCTGTAGCTGATATAAATGACAATTTTGAAATGTGTTGTTTTTGTCACCCCCCCTTAAAGTAACAGGTGGAAATAACTGAGGAAAACCACAAAATGGAATGCTGGAGAATTGAGGTGACATGCTGAGGTAACATTTGGTTTCAAAAACCCAAAAATCCCAAACCAAACCTTGTCATTTGATGGATGTTAACAAACAGCTTTACTTGAGGAATTTCCATGATGGCTCAGTGTCTGTTCCTGCTGGAGCTGCTCTGTTTCCCTCTGAACCAGCCTGCTCAGAAGCAGCTCCTTTTGTGCATGGAAAGCTTCCCCTTTGTTCCAGAATTCTTTGGAAGTAGGTGATGCCTCACTCACATAAAAAAGGAGTTTTGAAGACTGAAAAGTGTGAAAAGCCATGGATATAGACAAGTCTGCTGGAATATCCTTTTTTAATTCCATGCATGCACTTGTAGGTACTTAGAGAGGCAGAGGACATCCAGTTCTGCTCTGTCACACTGTAACAGTGAGAATCCATTTGCTGCTGAAGGGAAAAGAGCAAACTTTGGGAGGGCATCCTTTGTACAGGATAACACAGATGATGAAAGAAAATCCAGCCTCTTCATGCAGGAGTTAAGCATTAATTGACAAAATGAAGGAGCTCATTTTTTATCCTGTCCAAGCTGAACTGTTTGAAGTTCTCAATGTAGGTCAGAACCTTGCAGGACACCAGGCTGTAGTAGGTTTCCAGTAGGGAGCAATCCTCCCCATCGCTCGTTTCCTTCCAGTCCGTAAATAGCTCGTCCTCCCTCATGGCAGAAGAGGTGAAAATGAATTTGTAGCAGCAGGGGTTGTAGCTGATGTGCTTGTTCCCAGCAAAGCGGGAGCTGTGCCTGGCACTGATGCCAGCTCTCTTGGCACAGACCCCTACAAAGGCAGCGGGGGGCAGTGCCAGGGGCACCTCCCTGGCAGCCACGAAAACCTTGCGGGCCGCGTCCTGGGACAGGAGGAAAGCGCTGCCGTGGCAGAAATCCGGGTAGAACTGCTGGGGGTACAGATGGATGGGGACAAAGCCGGGGCTCTGGGGGTCCCTGTCGGGCACTGCACGGTGAACCACCCTGCCCAGGTAGATGTCCTCCTGCTGGGTTAAGCTCAGCAGGTAGCCAGCCAGGCTGGGAACACCCACAAACACGTCCTGGGCTGTGTGAAGGATGAACCTGGCACGGGGACAGAAAATCACCGTCCACTCCACGCTCATCAGCATCTTCTGTGTCTGTGTCTGGGGGGAATCGATGAAACTGCCCTCAATAATGTCTCTGTGCCTTTGGGCCTCCTCCTGGATCTCCAGCTGGGTGCTTGCTGAGGCTGCCTTCCCTACAGCAAACACAGTGAGCACACTGTAAGCCCTGGAGGCCGTGGCGTTGCCCCAGGTCTGCCTGATGGCGTCACGCCTTGTCCTGTTCTCCGGGCTGCTGCACACAACAATGAGCAGGAATATCTCCTGGTTGGAGCAGGTCACTGCACTGCTGCTGCTGGAAGAGAGGTTGGCCTCCAGAGGATCCAGATCCAGCTTCCTGGCCCTGTCCCTGATCTCCAGAGCCTTAGCATCGGTGTAGGAGAGGGGCAGGGACTGCAGGAAATATTGCTCCAGTAAATCTGCCCCGAAGAGCAGCAGGTGGAAGAGCAGCACATTGCAGAGGATGAAGCACCACTGGTGTGTGCGGAGCCTGCACAGCGTCAGCTGGAACAGCAACAGGGACACTGAACTCTCCTGTCTCTCAACCCAAAAGATTTCCCTCATTTTACAATATAAGCATGCAAAGCAATCACTTCTAGACTGGTCTTTGTATTATTAGTGTGAGTTTTTTTCTCCTAGAAACTAAGAAATCTGCTTGAGGCACAGTGAGATCCCAAACTCGGAAGGATGTTACCGTGTTGAAACTCTCTGTGCGTCCATGTGTGGAAATACTGAAATATTACTTACTATGAATAATTTTTGACTATTTTTAACCTGTTACTGAAGGCTTGAGGTGCCCCTTAATCTGTCCTTGAAGGACAACTTGTGTTATTTGGCCTGACCCTGCCCTATGAAAGCTGTCAGGGTTAGAATCCAGAGGGAAAGGCAGGGTTGGATGGGGCTTGGAGTAATATGGCAAAGTGGAAGGTGTGCAATGAGATGATCTTTAAGGTCCCTTCCACCCCAGTCCTGTGAAAGCTGTAGGGGGCTGCAGCACTTACCTGCATCGTGCCGGGAGCTGTCCCTGCAGCAGGGGCTCTCTGGGCACTGTCTCCTGGCTCTGGCAGGATCTGGGTCTGCAGGATCCAGTTACTGCCCAGTACCTGCAGCCTGTGCCTTCCACCTCACCTGCCTGGGCACAGGAAAGATGATCCCCGGGGCTGATCATGTTGCAGGCACATAAAACACAAAGCTAACAAAACCCTGGCCTTTCCCTTCTTTAATTTCTGGGAAATAACTGAAGCAAATGCTGGGGCTCGCTTGGTCAGAGGAACCCCTGCTACTGCTGAGTCTGTCCTTGACCTGCTGGCCCTGGGGGTTGTGTTTGTCACAGCTGTGCCATTGTGGTGTTGGTCCCCCAGTCTGGGGCAGTTGCTGGGCTCTGCATCTCCTGAGCTGGAGCTTCGGGGTGGGGACTTGTGGGGTCGCCTCGTGAGGGGTGGGAGCTTGTGGGATTGCCTCGTGTGGAGTGGGAGCTTGTGGGATTGCCTCGTGTGGGGTGGGGATTTGTGGGATTGCCTCGTGTGGGGTGGGAGTTTGTGGGATTGCCTCGTGTGGGGAGGCCCCCCGAGGCCGTGGGTGCTGCTGGGCCGGGCTGGCTGCAGCCCTGGGGCTCTCCTGGCCAGGCTGTGCCTCGGCTGCTCCTCAGGCTCCGAGTGTTGCTGTTGGCTCAGCCCTGGCTGTGCTGGAGCCACGGGGGCTGGGGAGCCACAGGGGCCTGGAAGTGCTGCAGGGGGAAGTGCCAAAGACGCCACAAACAGGATGGAGCTGTCAGCAGGGGACAGTTGGCTTTGGCACTGGGGCTGGGGAGCACTGAGGGGAGAGGGGCTCTGGGATCCCAGCAGGGCAGGGAGGGTTGGGGGGTGGCAATGCTGCTGTTTGAGGGGTGGGTTGGGGTGCTCAGCCTTGGAGCGGCTCCAGCCTCCTTGGGAGAGCAGGGAGATCGTGGTTTCTGTTTAATTCTGAGATTTCTCAGAGGTCAGGGTGCGTTTCTGTTCTGCATCCTTGGGTGAAAGGAGAGCACAGCACTGCTCTGGTTTGTCTTGGCTGGACCATTGCAAGGCTCCCTGCAGCATCCTCAGGGCAGCCTGGATTAGCCCAATGTCCCAGGGACATGGAGGAGAGCTTTGATTTCTGCCTTGAGGGCTCCAGGGTTAATCCCCAGCTCTGGCTGAGCTGCTTAGCTCTCCCAGCTGTGTTGATAAAGGGAACAGAGGAATTACAGAAGAAGCCAGGTTCCCAAAATCTGCTCACAGCTTGGAAGTGCATCTTACCCCACTGAAAAACCCCAAAACACTCCCAGTGTTCAATTCCCAGTGTGTATTTCTGCTTCAGGCTCTCCAAAAAGAGGGGAAACTTCCCCAGGGCTCGTGTGTCAGCTGGGCCACAGCTTCATCCAGCCCAGCCTCACACTACAATCCTCACAGAAGTTGTGCTTTGAAGCTGGGTGAGCTGTCAGCACGGGAAGTGTCAGTTAAATGTGTGCCCTGAAATAAAAGGCTAATAAGGAAGTTTTTTTCATGTACAATAATACAGCCCTGCAACTCCAGATACCCATTCTGGGGAAAAAAAAAATTCCTTCTTTGAAGATATTCTGTCTCCAGCTGAATCATTTAATTAGCAAATAAATACCAGTGTTTGAAACCTCTCACATTAAAAATGGAATATCTTTAGAATAATAAAATAATAGTAATAATCAGCCCCACGTGTGTATCATCCCTGGTGCAATTAGGCCCAGCGTGGTGCTGGCAGCCCTGCTGAAGCCATTCCTTTAGCTCTGCTCTGTGGTGGCAGAAGCACCTTTGATACCAAATATATAAAATTAACCCTCCCCAGCCAGGGCACAGGCAGCTCTTGGATGTGGGTTTTTATTTATCCACAGAGCCTGGTGGAGTCCCTGGGAGAACGCTGAGGAGCAGCAAGGCAGGGAATGCTGGAGGGGAAAGTAAGTGAGTCTCTGAGCTCCAGGAGGTTTGCCTGGGGGTGATCCCTCCATCACCTGTAGCCCCAGGTTTCAGCAAACACAACACCAGCAGCTCAGGTGTGACCTAATCTCCCTTTTCAGGAGGGTGAAATGAAGCTCTTTTGGGGAAATCTTCACTCCCAGGGAGATCCAGGAGTTTCCTGGACAGGAATGAGTGCAGGACCCTGGAATGGCTGCAGTCAGGTCAGTGGGGATGGGAACACTGTTCCTCAGCTGCACTGAGACCCTGCACAGTGCTGGGGGTGTAAATCAGGCAGTCAACCAGGAGAGCAGATTTTCCTGAGCCACAGGGCTGGAATTTGCTGTCTGTGAGATGTTTTCACATTTTCATTAAATTTTATGTCCATGAAAAACCTCATTGCAGGAGCAGGGATGAAACACTGTGAGCAGCTTGAGCTGTCCTAAAGCTGTGAGTGCTCAGACTGGAGGGTGTTTGGGTTTGATTTTTTGGAGAGTGTTTATTTTGTGATACCCAAAGGTCAGAGCAGAGCTGCCAGGAGGGTGGTGGGAGATGCTGTTGAGCAGGAGGAGCCCAACCTGCAGCTCCTTAAACATCTCCCAAAGGCTCCTGGCTTCCCTCCCAGTGCTGGGAACATTTGGAAGGGGGAGCAGAGCCTGGCTTCCCTCAGCTCTGCTCCACTTCACTCTGTGGAAATGCGAAGGCTTTGGATGACGCAGCGTTCTCGGGAGATGGAGCAGCAGAGGGGGATGGATGGGGCTGGTGGATGGGGAAAATCCAGTGAAAATCAGGTTTCCCAATATGAATTTGTTCAAATGTGAAAGCTTGAGCTCAGCCTGCCCTAGATGTCCCTCTGGGCAGGGTGGGCACCCCTCTCTGTGCCCACCATGGTGCCCTTGATGCTCTCAGGCTCTTCCCAAAGCCGGCTTGATTCCCACAGGCAGCTTTGCAAATTTTCTCTTGCTGCCTCCTGCTCCAGGGACGGCTCAGAACCCCTCTTGGAGCCCACCTGGCACAACATCCCTTTCCACCAGGCATTCCCTGTGCTCTGATGGATTCACCTGTCTCTCAGGCTCAGAGATGCCCCTTGTCAGTCCAGCAGTCCCCAGCCAGGATGCTCTGGGAACATTTTCCAGAGTGTTTTGGATGCTACACAAAGGATCCCTTTTATTCCGAGCTGCCTTTTGCAGCTTCACCAGCACACACAGACCTGAGAGCACGAGGGGCTGCAGAGGGACCTGTCTGGTTTTTAATAACAGCATCAGTTGCAATAAATAGAGATGGCTGTTTAGTCTTAGTCACCTAATAGCAATGTTTGTGCTTGAAGACATGATTCAGCTCTTGCAGGCAGTTCTTCACCTCACATTCTCCATGGGGTTTGGGAAATGATGGAAGAAGAGGCTTTGTAAGAGTTCTACAGTGTGTTTCACTTGTTATTTGATATTTAATGTCCCTTTGGGCATTAAATAAAAGTAGGAAGCTGAAAACCAAGCCAGCAAACCTGAGCACTGTCAGAGCAGACAAACATCTCTGTGGCTCCCAAAGTGCAGATGAAGGTGTCTTTGCCTCTGATTTAATGGCTGGGTTGATGAGACTAAACCCAAGTCTTTATAGCCAAGCTTCCTGCATTCTTCTTTGTGTTTTGCATACATCAGTCTAGGAGTTACAGAGCTCTCTCCTTTTTTATGGTAAGTTTGATTATTCCTTCTTGAGATTGCTGACAGCTTTGACAATTCCCTACCTCTGCATTCCTGGGTAAGACAGCCTCAGCCCCCTGTGTGTTCTGCAAGTGCTGCATTGAGCCTCAGAGCCCTGAGTTTAACAAGAGCTGAGTGGAAAGAGCAAAACTCGTGTGAAATGCTGAGTTGTGAGGCCACAGGGCCGAGCAGGTTCCCCAAGTGCTCTCCCTGCCAAGATGTCAACTTGACACTAAAGCTTATTTTGCAGCGGGCCTGAAGTTTCCTTGTTGTTACTAATTCTCAGACTGTGCCATGTGAGTTGCTTTTTTGATGCTTTCTTGGTGCTTTTTGCCTTGTCCTTTCATTGCCTGCAGGCTGTATCTGTGCCTGGCAAATGGAGACTCACTGAAATTCATTTGACACGCACAACATCCGCAGCGCCGGAGTCTGGGCTCGGGCTCTGCTCTGATTAAATTCCCTCCACGCTCTGACAACGTTTCCAGCTGGGAGCAGATCTGCTGCTGCTGTTCCTGACGCCTGTGGCTGCTCTGCCCTGCGCTGGGCATTTCTCCTGGGAGAAATGGGAGAAGTCTCAGCTGGAGCATTTCTCCTGGGCACCTCCTTGATGCACCCGAAAAGGCAAAGCTTGCCCAAGGTCGTGGGGGAAACAGGAGCTGGATGCAGCTCCTGGGGTTTCAGTGATGCCCCATCCCACCCTCTCCAGCTGCTGGATGGATCCAGCTGTGCTCCTGCTGCTCCCCAGGGCTGGGAGGGGCTGCAGCCCCCCAGGCTGGTGGGGCTGTGCCCATTGCCCCCCCGGCAGGGGTTATTGGGGGCTGGAGCAGCACAGGGACCCCCTGACACGAACCCCTGGAGCCCTGTGGGTCGCTGGACACGGACGATGTGCTCTGTGCATGACGACTTTCTCTCGCTCTCGCCTCTGACTCATCCCACTGGTGCCTCCCACAGGTTTATTTATTGTTCTCCCAGACGCAGGAACAGCAGAGTTGAGTCTCCCTGCCCTGTGCCAGGCCCCTCCTCGGGCAGCTGGGCTGGGATGTGTCAGAGCAGCCTTCAGCAGGGCCTGTCCCTGCTCCCAGCCCTGGGGGTTCTCAG